CTTGGACACATTCTCTAATTCCTGACTCTGCCCTTCTCATAGATGACTTCGATTTTTACCGCCAAGACCGCACGACTAGGCGTGGGGGTGGTTGTCTTCTTTATCTTAAATCCTACCTAAAGCACTCTCCCTGTTACTTGGACGTTTCCTCATTCACGGGAAACTTCTGCTTTGCATCTGTTATTCTCTCGCCGCAAAGAAAGGCAATTATTGGCTGTATCTACAATCCCCCAAATTCTTTAGCCAGTGATGATTCACAACTCTGTGAAATCCTTAAATTAATTTCGGAAGCTGCTTTCGATGTTAAAATAATCACTGGGGATTTTAACCTTCCTGAAATAGACTGGGTTTCCAATAGCTGCCCACCCAGATTCCAGTCCTTTCAAGATATTATCGATTTTTCTAATTGGTCCCAACTGGTGCGCTCTCCAACAAGAGATAATCACATTTTTGATCTAATCTTTACCAATGACATTGCTCCTCTTTCTGTTGCTTTAAAAAAGGACCTCTTTGACATTGACCACGTACTAATTCATTGTTGCCTACCGCTTGCCTTTTCAAAAAAGACAAGCGCCGTTCAGACTTTCATGAACTACGACTGCGTAGATAGCGACTTAATAAATAACTATATGAGATCCTTGGATTCGTGTGGCTTCCTCACTTGTAACGATGTAACCATTCTTCGTGATGTCATGTCCAATGTTTCCAAGGACATTCTAGAGTTTGTGCCGCGTAGATATCTCAAGCCTAATTCTTCAGATTCTCTTGTTCCTCATTTTCTTCAGAACAGACTAAAAAAGTTCAGGCGACAACTGCGTGACCTATCCACTAGTTCCTTATCAGTTCATCTTAGAATCACAGAGATTTTTGAGATGGCCTCAAGGATGCGCCAAGCGCGAGACAGGCAAAGAGAATCAATTGCTCTCAGTGGTTCGAACCCTGGCAAATCCGTCGCTAACATCTTCCGTCATCGGTCTTCCTCTAAGCGTGGTCATGAACTTCCACCCATGCTAAATGATAACAAAGTATTCCTCACCGATGACACTGACAAGGCGGAATTGTTTAGTGCTTTCTTTGCAAAACACCTTGCTACCGAGTCCGATCCGGTCCCTTTCTTTCGATCACTTTCAGATAGGACACTTAGTACAATTGATGTCTCCTCAGATCTCATTAAGAAACACATAAGCCGTTTGAAATACTCCCACTGCTCAGGAACGGACGGGATTCCGAATTCGATTATTAGACAAGCGTTCGACTTTCCCATATTGCTCAGTCATCTATTCTCGGTTTATATTTCAAAAGGATTCTTTCCTGAAACATGGAAAACGTCAATTATCATTCCCGTTTTCAAGTCAGGATCTCGGTCCGATGTTAATAACTATCGGGGCGTGCACAAAACGCCGTCTCTAGCAAAACTTCTTGAAAGGATTATTTTCAATGAAATTCTTGACTTCTGTCTAGCTAATCGGCTTCTGAGCTCTAGTCAGCATGGGTTTTTACCTGAACGATCCTGCGAAACATGCCACTTGGCTTTTCTTAATCTAATCACTTCTCTTCGTAATGAGCGGCAGTCAGTGGTTGTTATTTACTTTGATCTTAGCAAAGCCTTTGACAAGGTGCCCCATAGACGTCTTTTAGTAAAATTGGAAGCCCTCGGCATCCGGCCGCCTCTACTCGACTTCAT